TAGGAGGAATTTTTGCGTAACTTCAAACCCAGATATTTCACTCAACGGTCAAGAGAAAGCAAGAGGCACCCGAGAAGAGTTCTCATATTTAGTAAATATATTTCCTCATTTCCTGAGCTACATTTTTATCAGTGTGAATTAAAGCACTTGGCACTGAAGAGACAGGAGAGTGTTTAAACTTTTGACCATAACAGCGCGGTATGCTTGTCTCTACTTGGCTGAAAGAAAGGGAAGCCTTGTACAGCAACTCAGCAGATCTGTAATTCTTCCTTAATAAGGTCACCTCTCAGCAAGAGATATCCGCAATCACCCCCACCCGCTTTCCAGCCACCCCCCCCTTCAAAGAAATAACCTTTTATGTATCATAATTTATATCTCCCACTCCGTCCTTTAAGAAATCAAACACTCCTCCACCCCCTTTCACTTCAGCAGTCCTGGAGATCAAAGATAAACGAGAGATCCAGGGAAATTTATAACAAACACTGTGACACCACTAAACCCTTGTTTCTGTACCGCTGGCTTTTATTTTCAGTGGGTAAGACCTACTACTCCAAGGAAGCTGGCTCCACACTTCTGTATGTTTACAATGAAAGAGAGGAAAGCTCGTTCTTGTCTTTTCTTTTAACAGGCGGTAACAAGGAGCTCGCGGTTAGGGGTAGGCCGAATCACAAGGTAACAGAATCTGGCGAAGGATAAAGCCATTAATTAATCAATTCTGCTGCGTTTCTATGGCGCCTTATCTCCTGTTTGTCAAAAGCGCAGAAAAGGATACCTAGTTTAAATTAACGTCAATAATATTATCAGTGTTCAAAATAGAAATCACTTTTTCTTTCTTCACATGAGCATAAAGTACTTTAAACAAGTAAATAATCCCAGAAAAGTTAGTCATAGTCTCATAGCAGGGCATATCAGAAATGGGAATCTGGCAAGCACAAACTTCTAAATTTCTGTTTTTCTCTGAAAAAAATAATTTCCCCCAATTTTCCCCCAAGTATTCACCCCTTATCTATATCCTCTGTTTTATATTCAATAACAAATTCTCAATCCAAAAACTCACATTTCACTGAATGCCTACTGCTTGCAATGTCTTGTGGAAACCTTTATCAAAAGCCTTCTGAAAGATCTACCCTTTCTAAATCCACACTATTTCCTACAAAGTTATATCCCATATACAGTAGCTGATCCTCTAAGTTCTTCTAACTGATTCCATTAGGTGATAGATGTCAGACCTATTGGTCTATAATGACTTGGTTCAGTGTTCTCATCCTTACTATGTTTGTTACCACTACAGTAGTAGTAATATAGAAATTACAAAGTGAAGGCTGTCGTGGAAGAGGGACTTGGAGCTGAAAGGTCAAGTAGCTGCCTGACACAAATAGAACTCATGTGACTGTCTCTTATTTGTCTACAAATATCCAGTAACTGTAATAGAAGGTTTATTTATAGAATTGGTTAATTGAGCCTCTCTATATGACTATATACAGTATTAGTGCCTATATACAGTATTATACAGAATTATTTAAGGGTCATGTACAATTTTTAAGTTCTTTTAACCATCGTAATCAATTAACTTCATACAGTATATACATCAAGGACCTTCCTTAAATAAGCCTTATTTTATGCTCAGTTGCACAGTCACAAACACGTACTGTGTATATATACACACAATTAATATATATACAGTACAATCACATGCCTCTTATTTTTCCCTTTGCAATATAAAATGCCTTGCAAAAGTATTCAGACCCTGATAGCTTTGCTTTCAAGGCTTTTTAAAATCTTGATATTTTATTCAAAACATGAATGCTCAGACTGAAGACGTCAAGGGGTAAAATAAGTTACAGTAAATGCAAGCAACAACTAAAGACGGGACAGCAGCCCATCGCAGGGCGGACATACAGATGTGCACACACTCACCCTGGGGCCAATTCACCTAACAGCGTGTTTTTGGACTGTGGGAGGAAATCCTTGCAAATACAGGGAGAACACACAATCTCCACCCAGACAGCAATCCCTGGTCTGCAACTGAACCCAGGGCTCCAGCACTGTGAGGCAGCAATGCCGACCACTGTACTACTGTGCCTCCAAAGGGATATTCAATATTTTGGAATTTTCTATACCTTTCTTCTGATCTGTGCTTTTCTACAACTTTATCTCTGATTGGATTAAAAAGCTCCATTGTCTTCATGTTGTAATTCATGCATAAGATTCACTACCTGACTGAGGGACCTTAATAATAACAAAGATTACTTCATTAAAACAGATGCTAATTGTGTGACTCCTTAAGCTACTTTTGTCCACCTAAATGAATTAAACAGGTAACAGGTTTATTCCACACTGAAAAGAAAGGAAACAACGTTTTTGGCTTTGTGACACCTGAAGAAGGCTCCACAGCCAAAACGTTGTGTTTCCTTTCTTCTATTTTCAGCATGGAATAAACCCTTACCTGTTCCTTTGCAGCCTACGCATGCTGACACAGCTCCCTACTTGAACTAAATGAATTAAAGTTTGCCACAAGCCAAGGATCTGAATATCTATCCAATTATGAGCTTGCCATTCTTTCTCTCATTTGTTTCATATTATTTATTTATTTTTCCTTTCAATGTGTTGTGTAGGTTGTGAATATGACAAAAAATAATTTATCCTTCAAAGTGTCATAACCGCAAGTCTTAAAGGAACAAAATATGAAAACTGTGCAAAGGTCTGAATACCTTTCCATAGTATTCTATATCAGTACAGGATATATCTCTTGGGATTTTTTTAAAGCTGTACATTAACATTATTCATTGGGTAGCATTCTGAGGGCACGGTATTTATTTTTACAGTGTACAGTATGTCAGGTCTATCACACCATGGTACCTTTATTAATCTTTCAGGAGTTGTTCATTCACACAGTAACCAAACTGCAGTTGCCATCATTCTACAAATAACATGAACTTGGCAACTGTTAAAATGTAAATGTAATCTGTTTTCTTGCCAGATAGGCTGTTGCTAAGGTAAACACAGTGTTTTCAGGAAAAGTGCCTGTTTCTAGGTAATTCATAAACTGCACAGAAAGTGTTGTTGGCCATCAGTTCAGCATCTCTTAAAATGTTACAGAAGGCTATTGTGTTGTCTGAAAAATGCATGCAATTAAATTTCCATTTGCCTTGTAACCTTTTCATATATGAATAGGCAACTATGCTTGCCATCTGAAATAGCTACTATACTTATTCTAAATTGATTCTTCCTGCTTTTCTAAGGTTTTATATTAAAAAAACTACTCCTTCCCTACTGTGCTCTGAACTGGCTGAATTTTCATCTTGAATGGCAGGCTTATATCCATTTGAAATATTTTAGGGGATCAGGCTTTTTCAAGAGCCATAGAATTTAATTCAGCACAATTGGGCAATCCACATTTATGAATTGATTCCGCCATAATCATTAACAGAAACATCTTACGTAGTAATAAATGAAAACAACAGCAGCACAACTATTACAAAGCTATGGAATTTGCATTCGATGTCCCCAGTGTGCAAATTTCCATGTAAAATGTGGGAGTACTGCACAGTAAGGAAATCTTCACATCTACACAATTTTGTAAGAAACTGCCAATTAAGCAGTCCATAAGTACAAATAACATGATTCAGGTGTATATAATTCCATTCCTTCCATTCCTATTAACAAGATAAAAACATGTTAGGAATGTTGAACTAATTATGGGATTTCGGTAAAGTAAACCAAGGTGCAACTCTGTGTTATGTAATTCTATAATTACCATAGTTGCATACCACTGTAATATCTATTGCCTAGATATACTCTATAAAAGATATACTCTATAAGAAATAACAGAATCCCATAGTGCACTGGGCTAGGGCTAGCAAAACTATTCTGTGTTACAGTAATTAGCTAAAACAAAGGAATAAAAATGCACTTTGGTCATATTCCCACTATCATGAATTTTAAAGGATACAGGATATTTCCTATGATTACAGTATACCACACCATACTCATTGCCCAAATCACTTGAAGATACGTCTTAATGGTAAAGGAGCCCAAGACACTGGGAACTGCAGCACCTATTTGAGAAGACGAGGATTTTACAAACAACCATTTAGGTCACTGGAGGTGGTGAATATGTGGAGATGAATGCAAGAAAGGGGAACGGGCAAATTAATTTAATAAAAAAAGAGAACAAAATGAAAGGTTTCTTGGGGGAAAAACCAGAGACCAGAGGGAAGGAGGCAGAGCGGCAAAGGAGGTGAATTGCTTTTTTGCTCGCTAGGCCCTCCTTGAGCTAATGAGGCCTGCGCTTTGGGGGAAAGATAAACATTATTTTTGGAGCATTGTGCTCGTGAGCAGCTTATTTATGGCCTGGCTTTTGTGTGTGGGGACCTAATAATGCTTCTCAACCGGTAATGCTCGAACCCTCCCACCCCCCTCCCCTCCCAGAGTTAAACCCACTCCAGAGCCAGATCAAACGCTCCCAGCCTGTGAGGCCAGCGAATGCAACATTAATTGTGCACCTATTGTTCCCATGTACTGCAGAAAGAAACAGAAAATGCAGGGAAAAAAGCCTGAGCTTTCATAATGAGCTTCCTGCAGCTGAACAAATACAATCTCCCAAACAATATTAACTGCTTTGGTGCCTCCCTCTGGGTTAGTTCTCAGTATCCTCACGACACAGATTTTACAAACATGTAATGTTCATGTACACAAAGGAACAAGTAAAGGTTGATTCCCTGCTGAAAAGAGAAGAAGAGAAATGCAACGTTTTCGGCTCTGAAGCCTTCTTCGGGTGTCATGTTTATGTATGTATACGCCTATGCGAGGCTTATGAAGCAGACAGGCCAAGCCTGTCACATTTTAGCCCAACATTTTAGTTTCGTTTATCGACTAAAGGCAAAGACGTTTTTCAAAAGGCACAACGTCATGACAGTAGTGCGAACTGGTAGATAAATACAGAAGAAAACATGTCTCTTCTACAGAAGCAAAGATCTCATTGCTTTCTTTTCAAAAAGGGCAACACAGCCTATCTACAGATGATCAAAATGGAAAGAAATCTCATACTGTATGGTGACATTCAACTCCCTGTGTCATACAGATGCAAATGGATCTACAGCAGGTCAGTCTGCAGCTGGTTATCTGTACTCATGTACTCTCTGTTCATGAGTTGGACAAGCCCAAATGCATATCTGCCATTTCTCACTATGAAAAATTCTAAAAATGGTGTGCATCTGTCGGAATTCTGCATGTGTCTGCATGGAACATACTGTATTTATGTAATCCACGACACTCCTCTCAATTCTAAATTTTCTTTTGCACATCACCAATAGTCATTAACATTACAGGTCAAGTGCCTTTGTATTTCTGAAATTCCTTCAGCACATCACCTATCAGTACTAATCAGTGTCTCTAGTCGTGGCTGTGAAGATACTGTTTGTGCCAAATATATCCCAGGCCTATTTGTTGTCCCAAGACAACAAAGAAAATGTTTTAATGGACAAGTTGGAAAGAAGGGTCAGTTTCCACTTGATGCAGTGATCTGTATTTTGCACAAGGAGAAAATTCCACAAGTGAATTTGACAGGGCAGTTTGTCAGTAGTGGAACATTTCACCTGAAAAGTGTCATGTGAAACATTTTCCTGACTGTTGTGGTGAAATATATAAAAAAACAAGGCTAAAGGGAACACAGAAGGGCTTCTGCATTTCTCCTGATAAATGTGTTGTACAAAGTGCTTTGCAAGAGTCAAGATGCCAAGAGTCCATTAAGATTCTGAAATGAAAACTGCTATTATAAAACACTGTATAACCAACATCACATCACTCGCAAGGAATCCAATCCATATGACCCTCTATTTAAAAAGCAAACATAGGCAAACACCTGGCAATGCTTTTACACATTTTAGTCTTCCCAGTGTTTCCTGTCCAACATCTTTATTTTTTATGTTTTCTGCTATACATTTGTATTATCCTAATGCAAACATTTATAAATGTGATCAAACAAAAGGAAAACTCACTTGAGGGCTTGAGGGCTCTATTCTGCACTACTGCCCATAATTTCAAGCCATATTTAATTTTATTTTCTGCTTCTCTTTGTTGATTTAAGCCTGTCTGTTGCCTTGGCAGCTGTTTCAAAAAGCTATCCTATGCTAAAATCACTTTTTGTCTTCACACTGTTTCAAGCAGTGCAGTTTCCACCAGCCTGCAGCACCTGCTGTACATAAGAACGTCTCTGATGCATAACCCCGCTTTTACCATGATTCAGCCAATCCACTTTCCTTTTACCACGGTAAGCCAAACTGAGACTTGATAAAGAGTCTTGCTTTTAAGTGTAAGCAAATGTAATTGGGAAAAGCTGATTCTCATCAGTTGCTTATCACCACTTGTTGCTGCTCCATCTCCATCCCTTGGGGTCTTCCTCGGTCCTGCCAGGTAAATATTTATCTGCTGCCCGGACCTCAGAAACGGGATCAGCTGTGCCTCATATCCGCTCGTCCTCCCCCCTGCTCACCACACGCACAGCCCTCTAGTCCCCCACACGCAGCAGCAGTCTACAAGCTCCTCTGAGCGCGTCTCCTCCTTGGGCCCCCAAATGAAATTTCCTATCACCATGACAGATAGCTCTGTCTGGGTGGCCTAATATGCTTTTTAGTGTAATTTCTGTAATCTATATGTAAACCTCTTATGCGAGCAGAGCTGGGTGGATGGGCTGCAGCTGGGGAGTGGATAATTGCTAAAGTGCTCCTTCCGCACAGCGTTAGACCATCCACCGGCGTGATGGCAGCCCCTGATAATATCATGTTTGAAAATTCATTCCCGCTTCTCTCTCTTCTCTCCCGTTTCAGATCCTTGTTTTGGGATTAATAGCGGCTCCATCGTTCCCCACTCCTCCCTGTTTGTTTATGAGCACCTTTCCCTGCGTCGTAAATGGGCAGCGATGAAACTGGAAGGCTCAAAGGGATAAGATCTGATGCGACAGTGGTCCTATAGTCCTATGCGACAGTGGTTTTCATAATAAGCTCAATTATGAAAACAGTTTTCATCTGTTGTCTAATAATCCATAGTTGCATTTCATACATTATAACATAAACATAAAGAATACAGTTTTTGGCAAATCAAGAGACGTTGTTAGCTACCATTACTATGCTTTCTGCATCATGAAAATATAAAGACAGATTATTTCCACTTCTCCATATTTCTGATCGTCTCCTTTCAATGTTGCCTCTCAGTGCCTCCAGTGTGCTCAGTAACAACAAAGCAATGATTTCTAGGCAAAATGTTTGGGGGTATATTTTCCCTTTGGTAAAATGGGACAAAATTGTGCACTTTTTTGTTTTCTTTTGAATTTTGCATTTTATAGCAAAAAAAGCATGTAGCCAAATGGGCCTCTCTTTCATACCTGATCCTATTTTCTTGTTAGTGTTTCACCAGACATTTGCAGTAGTAAAATGCCACAGGGGGATTTTTTCCCCCATTGTTCGTAAGTAATAGGGATCAGTGTGCTGAGTGGCTTACAGAAATGATGTCACTCTGAAACTTAGTGTGAACCTCTGGCGCAGAATAGGATCTGTTTTTTCTTGGCATGGTGAAGCTGTCTGCTGTCTAGAGAGAGGCACTGTGCATGCTCACAGCCCAGCAGAGGCAGGGAAAGGTGCACTCATTACATAAGGAGTGTGCAGCTTTTATTTTCGAGAGTAAGTAAGTCACAGCACCAAGCAATGAAAATGAGAACTCGGTAACTCTGTCAGGGATCTGCAGAGTCTTGCTTGGATTCACTTCTCATTCAGAAAGCTGTTTTCCAGTTGTAGGCCTTTTGGTGAGCCTATAGTATAAAAAACAGACCCAAAACCTGGCCATTCCAAACTTAGCCCCCAGTGAGAAATATTTATGGAGTGTTATTTTTATGAAGTACAGGGTAACAACAGGTTTAAGAGGGACATCCTGACCTTGCTCAGTCTGGACTGACCTGGATTTGGAGTATTTAAATGTCCGTGGGCCATAATTAGCATCAGAGCAGGGCTGAGTCACTTCACATCAGGCCTTCATGGGTCTTACACACTGCGGAGGCTGCAAAAAGAAGAGAAAAACACGCGAGGAGATTAAAAAAAAAAAGTACTATCTTAGTTTTATTTTTCCTTTCTTGGTTTCTCCTTGTAGGCTATAAGAAAATTGTAAAGTCCACTAGGCTTGTAGACAGAATTTAAGCACAGCTGAAACCTTTTACTATGGAGCACTGTGACATGATGGTACAGTTTGTGAATTTTTCCTGTGCTTTTTTACAGCTGATGACATTCAATGAGAATGTGGTATACTGGGCATAATCCCTGTTTCAGTCTTTCTCAACAACTGTGCAAACTAAAAGGATTAAGACTGCACAACTTGATATTGAGCAACCAGTATAAATCTAACAGGCATGCTCAAAAACTATCTGGAGTTCTTATTTCTCCTGTCTATCCGTTATGATAAGAAGTAACCACAACTACAAACAAACTAAGACAGAATAGAATCAGAGGATTAGACACAATCATCAATTAACGAGGTGGTCCATAAGACACTCAAGAATGTTTTAAAAGCTAACCCCTTCTTTCACTTTTTACTTAAACTTCAGTTTCTTGTGTAAAATTTTTAATCTAAGTGCACTTGACAGAATTACCCTGTCTTTCTGAACTGAAAAGTGTTGGGAGGTGAGACACAGTATGCTTTTGTGCTTAACCACTCTCTATGGAGCATTTTCTACCAGCTTTCAGGAATCCAGGTTGACCTAGGTCAGTGTCTTCATGAGTGCTCGCACCAGTCCAACTATTATTACCAAGAGCCTTGTGCTTTGAGAAATCACTTATAGCAGGTTCTCCCAGTTTATCCAGTGAAGCTACTGTAAGTCCCCAGCTCCTTTTGACACATACTGGAGCTAAACATGTCACATGGAACAGTGGCAACCCACTGGAATTAATGAGAGAAAAAAGATAATTAACTCCATTCTACAGGTTTCCCTCGAACACAATAAAAGAGAAAACCACAGAAATGGTGCGTGATGCCAAAAGATTGCTTTTTATGAGAGAGACCTGTTCTGCAGGAAATGTCAGCAGCTCCAGAAGAAAGACCCTTCTGCCTTTTTTTTTGTTAGGCAGCATAGAGATGTGAAAAGATAATTAAAAGAAAATATTTAAAAAGAGGAGCCCCGCCTGGCGTGACACACTGATCACAGATGTTACTCTACATGCATCACGGGATGGACGAAGTCACGTGTAACATTTCCGGAGCGCAACTTTTTTCTTAGCCCCGGATGGAGGGATGGGGTCACCCCTGGACCCTGGCTGGAGGTGCCTGTTGGTTTCACCGCGGCCCCACCCTGACCCCCACCATCTCTGCGCATGCTGTGTAATACCCCCACGAGCTGACAGCTGCTGAGATACACTTGGACAGAGTAAATATGCAGCAGGAGCTCACTGGCTGCGGCCACACAGACTGTCACCTTCGCTCACCGTCATCCTGCAAACTAGCAATTAACTCCACAGCTCCTGCTCCCAGGGCAGCCCTCTGTGGCCCTGCTGACTGCCTGGGCTCTAGGGCAGGATGACTCTAAGTCAGCTCTCTGCTAACCTCCCCCCAACACCATGCCTCCCCCCCCCAGCCCATGTCATCCTTCTGAACTTTATAAAATAAAGAGATAAAATCCTGTTTTCTCCCATAAATCCACACGCACACTTGTGTTGCGTCCATTGTTTAACAAGGACGGACACAAACTGGCTTAGGGGACTGAAACTGAATTTTGGTAGTACAGCCCGTCAGATAGGCTTCTTACAACTCTATTTTCAGTGCCCCGCTACTTAACTAAGGTTATTCTGTCACAATTAAACATCATTCTGATCTGATGGCTTTTCTATGCTTTAGCTCACAAAAGACAGATTTGCAAAAAAATGTTTTGGATTCTGAAGCTGCATAAAGACATGAATAAATCGAGCTTCCTCGAGGACTAATGAGCGCTACTGGCAGAAGACTAGGAAGAGCAGCATCTGCTGAAACATCTCCCTTACAACAATTAGAGTCGATTAATTTATTCCAGTTGCACCAACTAGACATATTTTCACATAACTGTATTAAATGGTGAATGGAAAAAGACTCTAGGAAGAAATGCAATACATGCGTGAGAGAAATCTTTTCCAAAAAGAAGGCATGCCACACAGAGTGAATTCTTTAAAAAAAAACACAAAAGGCGATTCTCACACAGTATTGCCTGTGTCACTTTTCATTACTCAAGTAAACCGTGCTATAGATGTTCAGGAGTTCTGGTAGGGACATTTCCTTTATTTTTAAATAAATGAATTTGGCCTATTTTGGCTCAAATGAAACAATTAATAACTAGAGAACGATCCAGATGAACCCTTTTTAAATTTAACACGACTGTATCACACTGGTCTGCATAATCCATTCATAGGACAAAAGTACAGTAAGCAATGAAGTCATTTAAGAATGTGGTTCACTAAAAGGAGGAGGAATCAATAACAATGAAGTCTATGCTGGAGCTCAATAATAATGATGATGAAAATAATAATGCAGTATATACACGGAAAGCCAATTTTTGTTTCTAGTCCAGCTGGTATGTTCATCAGGGAAGGATTCAGATCTTTTCCTGGTAATGATGATACACTTCCCTTGTTTGCTTCCTCTCTCTCACTCTTGCCAAAATTTTGTAAAGACAGAGCAATATGGTAAGTTTAGGCTCCCTGTCATCTCTCTGAAATAATAGGACTGCCAAAAAATCTGTAGCACCAGCAATCAGTAGCAGCTATAGTCTACACTAGTTCATGGTACAGGTTTGAGTTAGCGGTAAGGGCATCAGTTCGGATTTAGATTAGTGCTAGAGTTAGGATTAGATGTCCTGTTGAGGACATGTGAAATACAAGATGAGATAACGGCTCACTTCTATTGTTGTGAAATTAAGCAAGACAACTACAGGTCACACATCAGGATGGGCTACCTCGAGGAAGAAAAACAGCAGGAAAGTGCAAACTATCAAAAAATTACAAATGAGTCTAACAAGGAGCACAGAGATAGCTTCAGACAGATGTGAATAAGTGTCTTATTTATTATACCTTCCACTATAAATATAGATCAAAACATTTTAAATTTAACTTAAATATCATATGTCTTGTATTTCACACCATGTTATCCACTAACTCATGTTTGTAAAAGATCCATAAATTCCTGAACAGTTTCCACAGTTAAGAGCAGATAAAGCAACTAATAGACATCCTGTCAGAAATGGCCCACTGAAGATCTTGATACAACCTTCCAAAATGTTTGTTCAGCATTCTGTTATTCTTATATGTAAAGCCATTCTCCTCAGAGACTAAAAATGTTATCATCCACTCATTTAGTCAAACCAGCCAACATCTGGACCTTTTTCATATCTGCCACCTCAATAGATAAAGCTTCTCTCTACGAGTATCCGCACAGTAGAGGTTTCAGAAGTCATCTGCTACTTTACAGTACAGGACAAGACAATGGAGATAAATTTGGGAAGCTGTTCATCACTTTTTAAGTGGTCTATCCAGGCCTTCTCCAAGAGAAGAAACAATGAGAGGACATTTTCCGTAGATGCCTCTTAGACCTGAAGCCCTTTTTACCAACACATGGTCCTTTCCAAGCCATGACGCCCATGTTGGTTGGTCTAGGACACTGGAAGGCCAGCCGGAGTCATTACACATCGGCTTCAGACTCATCCTCAAGTGAAATGACATATGGCTATTAGGGCACTAATGCACTTACCAAGTGCTGTCCGCAGCCTTAATTAGAAGTTGGGAAGAAGGACCCTGCTCACTCCCATTGTGCCCTCGTTATTAAATCAGAGCCTGCAGATATGCTTCTCTTCCGTTTTTATTACCGACAGAATCCATTACTCATGTGTTTTTTTTCATTCCCGTTTCATTCACCTCCAAGCCAGATAGGCTTTTTTTCTGCCTGGCAAAACAACCGTTGCAGTGCTGTCGTGACATCGCTCATTCCCAGCTTTATGTTCCCATATTTGTAAGCTGTGGTCAGAGAACAAAAGCTTAAATGAGAGAGAAAGCAACCACTTGAAAGGGCTGCTCTAAACAGATCATCATGTTTGTCCGGCTATTAAGCTTCCTTGCTTGTTAGACCAATAAATTTAAAGCATAAGAACCTAATTTACCCTTATTAAACTTTAGAAAGCTGAAGGTTTGAGAAGTAGTATGTGCACTATCTTCCACAGGAACAACAAAACAAAAATAAAAAATAAACCCTTAGATGGAAATCGGTAGCATGTTCCCTGTAGTCCTTTCAATAATGCACATTACACAGCCAATTACAGCTCCAATTTGATTGTCGCTTCGCTTACAAGACAGCCAGCGTGGTTATGACACAACCGCTCAGATTTCCTAACCAGGGGGTCACGGCCGTCTTCACCACTGTGCCCCTTCTTTTTGTTTTGCCAGAGATATCCTGCAGGGGTGAAGCCAATGCCACCCCAGAATAAAGTGAAAAAGAATGGATGTCTTTTGGACACTGTTGGACATGTATCCTAAATGTCTTCCAACTGTGAGAATCCTCTTCTGTCCCATTTAAGCATTTTCCATGTCCTTAACCCTCACTATTTGGCCTCTGCGTTACAAACATCGGGCACAGTACACAGTTTGACATAGTTATGGCTTGCTGTGTATCAGGAAGTGGAGGTCAGATGGCTGGAGCAATCGGACACCCCAGGGTGTAGCTTCAAACAGCTCAACTTGTCAGCTTCCCGGCTGACTCCACAGATAAAGCAAGCTCTTCAAAGCACCAGACAGGCCAGCCGCCAGAGCCAGTGAGAGCTGGGTTTGCAAACAAGAGCACAAATATGGTGGCATCATGGCTGCGAGCTTTGTCACTCTCGGTGGAAACTCACCAGTTCAGAGTCTGAGGACCAGCCCGAGCTAATGGATTTGACCAGATGTCTCCACTAGGCTACTCCCTGTAGCAAACAATATTTTCTTACTCAAAAGATTTACATTCTCCAATTATAGCAGATATAAGAGCTGCCAAGAAATATGAGTGTTCAAATTTCATAT